TAATAAAGGTCTTGTATGTAATTCCAGGTTGACTGGAACTAGAAATCCTCCTGCCTTAGCTCCCTGGGATTTCACTTTTTGCCACCAAGACTGAAATCCCAGGCTACAAGTGTCTACTGCATTATGGCTTCAGTTAGGGATTAAACAGTCACTGAGCGAATGTCCTCAGGGGAGTATCAGCTGAAAGGGATGATGGCCTTTGTGCAAAGCTGTGCTCCTAGAAGTCTTCTGTGAACAGTTGCTAGTCATCCTGTGTGAGTGGGATTTCCTCCTCACAGCTTCTCACCTTTGCTTATTCTTTAGGAGGGCTTGGTGAAGTGACTCTATTTTAATTCTGACAACTTTTTGTTTTGTTTTGTTTTGTTTTTTTGTTTTTTGTTTTTTTGTTGTTTGTTTTTTTCGAGACAGGGTTTCTTTGTGTAGCCCTAGCTGTCCTGGAACTCACTCTGTAGACCAGGCTGGCCTCGAACTCAGAAATCCACCTACCTCTGCCTCTCAAGTGCTGGGACTAAAGGTGTGCACCACCACTGCCAGGCTCTGACAACTTTCACAATACCAGTTTAGTGTTTTCACTTGGTTTTTGTTTTGAGACAGGGATTCCCATGTAGCCATGGCTGTCCTGGAACTCACTCTGTAGACCAGGCTGGCCTTGAACTCAGAGATCTGCTGAGTACCTAACAACTCCAGGTTTGGGTCTCCTGTGTGAGCTAGCTGCTACATCCATGCTGGGAATTGAACCTGGGTCCTCTAGAAGAGCAAATAGTGCTGTTAACCATGCAATATCAATTTTCAAGTTTCATACCAAGAGGTAGAAGTTTCTAGTGATTGTTTTCCTGGCATTAAGGATTCTAGGGAACTGTCGCTCAGAAGGGTTCTAGGTAAAAGGAGACGCAGAATCAATGGAAGTAGAGGAGCATTTCCTCATGCTCAGAGGGACGTTTTATGAATGGAAGAGAGGCTGTTTGTTGCCCAGTTAACATCAATCCCTCCTCCTCCTTTCTCCTTTTCAAGCACCACATTATGGTGCTTTAAAGCACCTTCCTCCACAAAGCCATATGTGATACTAACCAGTCATGCTTCCTTCCACCCCGGCATAGGGTCTGGTTTAAGAAGGGAACTGGAAGAAATAGTAGGAGAGATGGTGCTTCCTCCTCTGCCTGATGTACCCCAGTGTGGTGTGTGAAAGTGCTGCAGCTCCCTTGCCATCAGCCTGGGACAACACTCACACAGCCAAGGGGTGTCCGCAGAGCCAGAGAGAAGTGGAGCCCAAGCCTTGCAGCCCTGTCCAGAAACCCTACCCTCCCAGTCTCTGAGGCTCCTGCCAGCAGAGCTGAGTATTCCTGATATAACACATTAGCATTTCATCTAAGCTCTGCCCGACAGTTACCTGACAACAGCCAGGTATGCCTGACTCACTATAAAAGGGGCTGCTTTGCCCACTCAGCTCTCCCTTGCTCTCGCCTTCTTGCTCCCTCTTTGTCCCCTCACCCTTCCCCCTCTTCCCATTCTCCCCCCACCCCCCTCTGCCTTTCTTTGCCTCTACTACTAGGGATGCCTCAGCATGGGCCCCGAGGGGCCTCCTTCCCCCATATCTGACTGCACATCCACCAAAACATATTCTTCTTCTCTTTACCTTTTTTTTTTTCGTTTTGTTTTTCAAGACAGGGTTTCTCTGTGTATCCCTGGCTGTCCTGGAATTCACTCTGTAGACCAGGCTGGCCTAGAACTCAGAAATCCGCCTGCCTCTGCCTCCCAAGTGCTGGGATTAAAGGCGTGTGCCACCACCGGAGGCTTCTCTTTGTCTTTTTATATACACAACAACACATAATACCCTAAACTGGTGAACGCCTTAACTGAATATTACTTTTAGTTTTGTTTGTTTTGAGACGGGGTTTCTCTGTGTAGTCTCCTTTTGTTTTTTTTTTGTTTTTAAATGACAATGCTGTGATCTAATCAAATTCACTAGAGCCTTGTGAATGCTTCTCCTTGAGCCCTAACATCCATTTCTGATGGTGGTAACACTGGACCCACCTAAATGACTAGCAAACAACTGAACCCAGGTTGGCAGGCTTGGCTGCATGCCTTTGTATTCAGTCATCCCCCTCCCAGGCCATCCCCAGGCCCAGATAACAAAAACCTTTCTCATTCCAAGAGAACAGGACTCTTCCTCATTTCTGGACTTTTTTTGCTGTATTCTATCACCCAATCTTGTTAGCTTTTTTCCGGTCTGGGTTCAAAACCCAGTTCTTTTTTCTTTTTCCATTCTTCTCTTTCTGCTTTGTCTTTTTTTCTTTTGAGACAGTCTTACTATGTAGCTTTGGGTGGCCTGGAACTCAACTTGTAGACCAGGCTGACCTCATAGTCACAGAAACCTGCCTGCCTCTGCCAGATTTTAATTTTTTTAATTTTTATTTTTTTAAAATTTTATTTATTATTATTATTTGGTTTTTCGAGACAGGGTTTCTCTGTGTAGCCCTGGCTGTCCTGGAACTCACTCTGTAGACCAGGCTGGCCTCGAACTCAGAAATCGGCCTGCCTCTGCCTCCCAAGTGCTGGGATTAAAGGCGTGCGCCACTACCACCTGGCTCTCCCAGATTTTAAAGAGAGTCTTTCTCTCTCTTTTTTCTTTCTTTCTTTCTCTTTCTTTCTTCCTCTCTCTTTCCTCTTCTTCTTCCTTCTTTCTCCTTCTCCTCCCTACTCCCTTTGTTTTTTTGAGACAGGGTTTCTCTGTGTAGCCCTGGTTATCCTGGAATTTGTTCTGTAGCCCAGACTAGCTTCAAAGAGATTCACCTGCCTCTGTCTCCCAAGGGCTAGGATTAAAGATGTGGTCCACCAATGCCCAGCTTTGATTTGGAATTTTTGATCTACAATTTAGGATCATGCAATTACATGTGTCCTTTTCCTTTATTTACATTTTTATATATATGGATGTTTGACCTGCATGAAATGTTTGTGTACATATGTGTGTAGTGCCATCAGCTCTGGGCTTGCTTCATGGGAGGAAATGTATGTATTGTAAACTTGGTTAAAAACTGAGGAAGTGATAGGGCTTAGTGGAGAAGCTACTACTGTTGTTTTGATAAATGAACATATTTTCTTTTTTTCCAGACAGGGTTTCTCTGTGTAGCCCCGGCTGTCCTGGAACTCATGTGAAGAGCAGGCTGGCCTTAAACTCATAGAGATCCATTTTCCCCTGATTGCTGAGTCCTGGGATTAAACACTAGCCACCACTGCCCAGCTTGGATATATTTTCAAACTACCTTCTAATATTATGTCTATATACATTAATACGTTCTGCTCTCAGCCTTGGCCAGAGAAGCTTTTTTTCTGCTGTGGCCAGTGGTTAATGCAAAAACTTGAAACTGAAAGTGACTGTTGAGTGCTCAGCCCTAACTGTGACATCTATGTTAACCTCATCAAGGCTCATGGACGATCAAGGAGAGGACAGAGAGAACATAAGAGTGGGAGAATGGAAGGGGGGCTGTCTCTAGGACATGGCAAAGCTGTTACACTCAAGAACTCAGTGCAGCTACAGTTACCCACCCAAGAGCAAGCCGGCAAGAGCAGTCCAGGAGGTAGCATTAATAGGTCTCAATGGATTGGGGGGGGGGGGCACATGAAAGTGGGAGGGGCCATGGAAGAGAGTGTCCAGGGGAAAAGGCTTAAGGAGTTGAAGGTGGATATGATCAAGATATCTGGTAAATATATGAAACCATCAAAGTATAAATAAAAGCTATCCTAAATAACTGAAATAGCAAGTGTCTTAGTCAGGGTTTCTATTGCTGTCATGAAACACCTTGACCATAAAGCGAGTTGGGGAAGAAAGGGTTTATTCGGCTTATACTTTTTTTTTTTTTTTTTTTGGTTTTTCGAGACAGGGTTTCTCTGAGTAGCCCTGACTGTCCTGGAACTCACTCTGTAGACCAGGCTGGCCTCGAACTCAGAAATCCACCTGCCTCTGCCTCCCAAGTGCTGGGATTAAAGGCGTGCACCACCACTGCTACATTGCTGTTAACCACTGAAAGAAGACAGGGCAAGATCCTGGAGGCAGAAGCTCATGTAGAGGCCTTAAGGGGGTGCTGCTAACTGGTTTGCTTCACATGGTGTGTTAAAAGCCGGGACCACCAGTCCAGGGATGGCACCACCCATAGGCTGGGCCCACCTTTACTGATCACTTATTGAGAAAATACAGCTGGATCTCATGGGGCTTTTCCTTCACTGAGGCTCCTTTTTCTCTGATGACTCTACCTTGTGTCAAGTTGACACACACAAGCAGCCAGTACAATATGTATTTAGAATTGTTCAAGTTACGTACTGTTACCTTATTTAAAAATAAAGTATAAAAAACAAGCTAAATGGCCCTTTAATCATGTTCTTTTTTAGTTGTAACTATTATCAGTGTTTTCAGGACCGCTTTCCAGTGTTCTCTTTAAATATTTTATTTACTGTACCTTCATATATCTTTGTCTTTTAAAACAAACAAACAAACAACCTCCTGATTTAACATTTGAAGTAAGAATGACCCTGTGGGGAGACATACTGAGACATTTGTTGAAGAAAAACAGAGTGAACAATCATTTACTAAAGTCTACTATAGACTGGTTCCTTTTTTACTCAGCCATTAACTTAAACTTTAGAATTTAAGAAACACACTAACGTCACATAAAGCCAAATAAAATACCTACTTTATGTGAAACCCTGAGCATTTCATGAAGGGCTTGGTATTTCAGTTCTGAAGATTCTTTCGGATACTGGGATTCAATGCGGTATTTAGGAGGCTATCTTCGGAATTCAGAAAAGAATACCAGGTAGCAGCCCAGGCTTCAAACCACAGCCCCGCTCGCGGCGGCTTGCGGGGAGTACGCCTGCGCAAAACGCGTGCAGACAGGGAGGGGGCGGAGCTTCGGGCCTGTCAGTGCGCCTGCGCACAGCACGCAACGGAGTGGGGGAGGGAGCCCCGTGTGTGTCTGTGTTGTTGTTCCGCGGCGGCGGCGGCGGCGGTAAGATGGCTGCCCACGGGGGCTCCGCGGCGGCGGCGGCGCTGAAGGGGTTAATTCAGCAGTTCACCGCCATCACCGGTAAGAGACGCGGTTACGGGAAGGTGAAGAGTTGGGTTCGGGGAGGCTGTCGGGGCTGCCCCGGGCTGCGCCTCACCTTCGTGTTGCTCACTCGGGCTCCCCTCAGCTCCTGCCCTCTCCTGAGGAGCAGACGACGACGGCGTCCGGGGTCTGCGGTTCAGGCGGGACGCAGGCTTCCCCCACCCCCACCCCACGCGTGCCTCTTAGTCCCTCGATTCGGTCTAACCCCATTCCCAGACAGGCCCCCACGCCCCCAGCCAGTCCAGAGCAGGGGATGGGCCGAGCCCGCGGTGCCCGGGACCGGGGACCTGCGGGCCGGAGGAGTAGGGGGCCGCACCCGGGCCACCGCCCTCTTCCTCCTTCTTCACCTTCTCTTGGTACCGTGCGGCACGCGGACAAGAAGGTGCAGTGCGTCCCCTCATGCCATCCTCTCTTCTCGGCCAGGTCATCGTCCCTCCGCTCCTGGCCTACCCTTCCCCTCGCTGGGCCCCCCGGAGCCTTGGCGGTGGCCCTGGCGTGTGAGGGCCGTCTCGCTTTAACGTTGAGGCCGGTGGGTTCTGCCGCGCCTTTACACATCCCGGGGGACTTGCCGCCGGGAGCAAGGGGTGCGGAGGTGTTCCTTAGGGACGGAAGGTTTCAGATAAGAATGAGGGGGAACCCGGGAGCTTAATTCGGGGAAGGCCTAGAGTAATCCTGGGTGGCCTTTCCCACCTCCTCATAATAAAATCAAACATAGAGACGATGGCGCCCGAGCCTTTGCTGATAAAATAGGGATGGCGGCAGAAAGTTCTTGCAGAGAAATCTGTCTCTAGGTGTCTGTATCCGCGAAACCTTAGGCCTAGGTTTTTCTTTTCCTTCGGACCCTGGTGAAGGGCAGACGCAGGTTCTCTTACGGCTGGGAGGAAAGGCTCTAAGCCATTCCGTGAATGCGTTATGTCTTGTTTCCCTCTGATGGTGCTCAACTTTTTTTTGCATGAGTTATTAGAGGGCGGAGCAAATGATGAAGTTCTCTGTGGAGTGATTTGAGAGAACAGTACTCCATGTGCTTGAGTGTGATTTTGCTGTTCTAGCTTGTCATTTTGAAAAGAGGTCAGAAAGTTAATTCCCGCTCTCCACAGGGTTATCCTTTCTTTGATAATAATTTGTTAGATGTGGAGAATGTTTCCAGTTTGTGTTGAGTCTGACCTGGAGGACCTTTAAGGCATGGTATTTTAACCAATGCATGCTAGCTGCAGTTTTATAATTATAACTAGTTTTATTTTTTGTTCTGCAACAATAATTAGATGGCTGATGCATTTTTTCTGTCTTGTCACATGAAATATGCCAAAGCTGATAAAACAAGATTTGTAATAAAATTGAAGTGAATAGTAAGATAACTGAAATATTGTTAAGCTTTGTGGTGGGATTATTGTATTTATTATAACATGTGGATTTCCCAGTGCCTTACCAAACCAACATTATGGGAAGAAATTGGATTTCTATGTATACAAGTTAATACTGCTACATTGCTTGCATAAAAAAATCTAGTAAGTCACACAGAGAAATATTAATCTTTCTTTGATTTCATAAAGATAGTTTTAGGTCTCACTATTTAATCTTAGGATTTTTGGGCAAGTTACTATCACTTTATTTTTTTATTTATTCTTTTATTTTTTTTGGTTTTTGTTTTTTTCCAGACAGGGTTTCTCTGTATAGCCTTTGCTGTCCTGGAACTCACTCTGTAGACCAGGCTGGTCTCGAACTCAGAAATCTTTCTGCCTCTGCCTCCCAAGTGCTGGGATTAAAGGTGTGTGCCACCACTGCCCGGCTAATCACTTTATTTTCATCTGTGAATTGGTATCATTTAGGAACTCCGTTGTTTAAAAATCTTACATTGTTGCTTATGCAACATTTTCAAAATACATACACAGAACCCAAAATGCCCTGAAATAAATTTAATACCAATTTGTTTGCCAATTTAGTCTATACAGCTTGCTTCTGGCCTAGGCCTCTGTGTTGCTGGATCAGATTGAAGTCCCTTGTAGATAGTGGTTTCTGCAAATGTACAGAAGAAAAAATCCTTCAGAGTGATGTTTTGTGGGACAGGGTTTGACTTTGTAGTTCAGATTGGATTCAGACTCAGAATTCTCTTGCCTTAGCTTCTGTCTGCTGTGTTTATAGGTACTAGCCACCATTCCTGGTTCCTTAGACAATTCTTTCTCTCTTTCATTTCTTTCTTTCTTCCTTTCCTTCCCTCCCTCCCTCCCTCCCTCCCTCCCTCCCTTCCTTCCTTCCTTCTTTCTTCATTTAGTGCTGGGGATTAAAATCAAGGCCTTGAATATGATAAGTACCCACTCTGCCACTGAGCTGTACTCAAAGCTCCCCAAAAGTTCCAAGTATTTTTGAGGAAAATCATTGGTGAGTGAATGCTGAATGTCATTCTGCTTCTGAGCTGTCAGCCAGGCTATACTTTAATATCTCCCTCTCTGCCTGCCTGCTTGTCTCCCTCCCTCCCTTCCTCCCTTCCTCCTTTCCTTCTTTTCTTTTTTTGAGACATGGTCTCACTATGTGACTCTTGGCCTAGATTAAACTTGATGTGGTATGTAATTAGTCCTTCTTAGGCTGTGTTGGCAAATATTTGATGGTTTTTGTTTTGTTTTTGAGACAGGATCTCTCTTGAGAAGTCCTGCCTATCCTGGAACCCACTATGTAGACAGGGAAGGTGTCAAACTCACAGAGATCCTCTTGTCTCTCCTGAGGATCAAAGATGTGTGCCACCATGTCCAGATTTGGGAAGATATTTTGATCTCTGTATGACATAGTGGGGCCCTTTCTAAAGAAGGCAGTAAGGCCCCCATGATGGCTCATAACCATCAGTAACTCCAGTCTAAGGAGATCCAATATCCTTTTTTGGCCTTGGTGGTATCAGGAACACACATGCTGTATGGGCAGAAGACTGAGGGTTGGGCAAAACATTCATACACATAAATTAAAAATAAATAAATCTAAAAAAAAAATTAGTCATCCAGGCCATGGTGGCTCATGCCTTTATTCCAGCACTTGGGAGGCTGGGGTAGGTGGTCTCTGAGTTCTAAGACAGCCTGGTCTACAAAGTGAGTTCCAGGACAGCCAGGGCTACACAAAGAAACTCTTTCTCTAAAAACAAAAACAACAAATTAAAAGATGTATGACATTATGAAGTAATTTTGGGGAGAATGGCAGAAATTAATTCTTCATTATTACCACAGCAGTATTATCTGTTTTATATATTCTTCCTGATTTGTGTATCCAGGCTGGCCCACCTGCCTCTTCCTCCCAAGTCTGGGACAAGTACTTTATATACTTGTCTCTATATACATGGTATACAGAATACAGAATTCAGACAACATCACTTACTTACAATTACATCTTAAATATTTGGTGGTCTTTGATGTGAACTTATGCATAGCTTACCTTTGTTATCTAAGGCTAAGTAAGAAACCTAGGGTGGGTGCCATTGGCTTTGCAGATAAAGGTAACTGCTGACCTTTTCATTCCCCAAACCCAGGTGGTGGGAGAGGAGCTGTCCTCTTTTTATACCTCAGCATGTCTCTATACACACACACACACACACACACACACACACACACACAGAGAGAGTGATAAAAACATTAACAAAAAAGAGAAGCAAGAAAGTGGGTGGTGGTGGCGGCGCAACACCTTTAATCCCAGCACTTGGGAGGCAGAGGAAGGCGGATTTCTGAGTTCAAGGCCAGCCTGGTCTACAGAGAGTTCCAGGACAGCCAGGGATACACAGAGAAACCCTGTCTCGAAAAACAAAAAAATAAAAAAAACAAAAAAGAAAAAAAAATGAGTCCTAAATATTGTTTTTGAGACTTGGTCTTGCACAGTGTAGGCTAGTGTTGAATTCACGATGTTGGGGGGGGGGGGGTTAGCTTGAACTCCTGATCTCCCTGTTTTTACTTCTCAGGTGCTGGGATTATAGATGTCTTACTACCACATAGAATTTATAATATGATGGTACTTGAACCCTGAGTTACATCCTTTATTCTTCATATTTTATCATTATACCACATTTAAAGATATTTGTAGTCAGGGTTGGAGAAATGGCTCAGTGGTTAAGAATACTGGCTTCTTGTCCAAAGGACAGGATTCAACCTCAGCATGCACATGGCAGCTCACAACTGTCTGCCATAAGGGGCTCTGACTCCGTTACACATGCAGGCAAAACACCAATGTACATAAAATAAAAATATTTTTAGCCGGGCGGTGGTGGCGCACGCCTTTAATCCCAGCACTTGGGAGGCAGAGGCAGGAGGATTTCTGAGTTCGAGGCCAGCCTGGTCTACAGAGTGAGTTCCAGGACAGCCCGGGCTACACAGAGAAACCCTGTCTCGAAAAACCAAAAAAAAAAAAATATTTTTAAAAAATCTTTTTAATTTAATTTAAAATTTAATTTAATTTAAAATTTAAAAAATCTTTTAAATTTTGGCTTCAGAGATCAGATATAATTAATTCTCAAAACATAAAAAAAATGTAGTATTGGATCAATTCTGGAAGAGCAAGTTTTTTTTTAAATGTTTGCCTTGAGATTATTCCATTAACAACAACCGTGGGCTGGTGTTTAGTTACATATATACAAAATTACATGTATATCAGAATAATCCAAGAGGTAAAGAGGTATTGTGTTTATTAAAAGATAAGGGAGATAAAAAAAGATAAGGGAGAGAAGGAATATGTTTGGTGGAGGTGTAGAGGAAGGAGGTACCCCTGTGGGCCCATGTTGAGGCATCCCTACCCCTGAGGGACCATGTGAAGGTATAGTATAGAATAGAGTTTATTCAGGGAGAAGGGGAGTTAAGAGGGCAGTGGAAACCAAGAACAGCAGAGAGAGAGAGAGACAGAGAGAGAGACAGAGAGAGAGGGGTGTAGAGAGGCTGGCCATGAGCAGGTGGAGAGAGAGGGGAGGGATGTTGGAAGAGAGGGGGAAGAGGACAGAGGGAGAGCAAGAAGGCAAGAGA